AGTTAGAAATTCTGCTGTAGAGTTTCGAATAAAGCACTGACATGCAGGGTGTGATTGGGTACATTTGTCAGTCACGGGACGAACGGCGTTTGCTACCACATCATACCATATTCCAAAACAACGAGTAAGCGAGTAGAGAATCCGTACGGGCGACGAGAATGATATACTCGAGTGTCCTATAGACCAGTTTCCATGAGCTATATCTTTCCACCTCTACTATCCCCCCTCCTCCCCCTGCAAAACCGCCCGCCCACCCAACTAGCCATTTCATCTACGACTATAAATGCCAGTGGGAATTCCAGCGGTATATGCGTTGTCAGGTTCTCAAGTGTACCCCATTATCCTCCCTCCAGTTGGAAGAGAAATGGACCAAATTTGTCTGCACGGCACCGTAGGTTTCTGGCGATAGCTTTGGGTGCGTCGGAGTAGCCCAGGTTTATGATTCGGTCCCGGGAGCTTGTGTTCCTTTGCGGGCATGATATGGTAACTGACATGTTGGTAGCTTTTCTTTTTTTTTCGTGGCTATGTCTGATATATGGAGTGGATGAGAGCCGACCGGAGTGGGCTGCAATGGGCGGAGAAGGGGGGGGGGACGAAGCATGGATGCAATTCTAGATGCAATTCTAGATTTTGTACTTTGTCCTTCGCCATTCCCGTGCTTTGGCTCGCATGCGGAAGTTCCTGCACTTCCCTTTCGTATCGGAATGGAAATGTATGCAATCCTCCACAATGCAGTTATTGACTTTCTCCGCTCGAGCTCGGTTGCCTGGAGACCACTCTTCTCGACAAGGCATCCGCAACTCTTTAATATTGGAACTACCAGTTCCCGAAACTGAATCCTGCCTTGTCGTGCTGCCATCTACGTAGCCGCATAGAGACTCACTCGCATGGATAACACGGGGTGAAGGAACACCAGCAGCCCAATTCATGTATGGTCGCTGACGGTCTTAAGAGCGGCCATCCCTCCAGAAATGTCACTACTCGATCCCAACCATCATCTTCGACCAAAAGTCATCACAATTAATATCTCCAACTTGCCCCATCGAGGCTCAAAGCATGTGATCAACAACAACGAAGCGCTTTTCACTACTCTAGTAATAACCCTATGCAGCGGCAACCCAAATCGCAGACTGCGGGAGCAAGGTATTATGGGGTATGATACCTCACTCCGTCCATACCCTGTCTATGCTAGCCCTTTCCGCTAGTTCAGAATTTAACCTGCGTATGCCGTCGCAAATTCCCTATAACAGGAAGGGCCTTGATCCCGGATGCCTACATTGGGGAGGAATTCCTGGAGTGGGCAGAAGTACAGTGCATATGATAAAAAAGAGGTTACCTCTGCTTTCTGACTCTCGGCCAAAGAGCTTGAGAGATATAGCATGAGTCAACCTCCCCAACTAGAGCACTGATGATTTTTTGTGAGGGCAGGCCCCAAGCTCATTATTATGATACCGTAGCATATTATGATGGGGAAATTGGCGTGAATTTTAGTATGGTGCTTGACCAAAATCCTGTGCCGCCAAAGTCTCCCAATCTCAGGTAATCCATGATTGACAACGCTCTTGAATGAGGGGGAGCCATCTAGTGCGGACCAATCCGCCAGGCCGGGTTAGAGTACTTGTAGTACTCGTAGAAGGTCACTTCGCCGTTTTCCCCCATTCCAGCCGGGGGAAACGGAGACACTTCTAACCATCCTGTTAAGGTGCCCTCTAACGTGTAACAGAACGGGCGATCTCTTTGAAAGCTGCGTACTCGTACCGTCCTCAGGTGTACTTTTGCACCTGCGTACCGTAGCCTCCTCGGACCTTCCGTTGATATCGCAAGGGCAGAGATGCGAGTATCAGCGTAAACTCGAGCTCCTGGATGGTGCGGAATGTTTCTCGAATATCGGGAATTGTACGGCATCGAGACACATCCTAGTGCTGTAGAGCCTCACATTCTGGCAAGGGGGGTCATGATAGCTAGAGTTGCCCGGGCTTGGAATTTCCCAATTCGAACGTAATTTCAACTATCAGGCTATTCATTGCCTACTCACCCACCACCTACGGTACCATACCCGGGATAGCGGGGAGCGCCAAAACCACCAACCACGGCTCGCAGCGGTTCAGATGCACGAGTTCCGGTGTTGTACGAGCACTGTACGGTACAAGTACTAGTACTCGAGATACTAGCACTTGTGTGCACACATACGAGTAGAGTACAGTATAATACACACGCACACTCCATGCGCAGTTTTTCCGAAATGCCAGGCACCAAGGCTTTTTTTGCACGAGTAGGATACAGCTGAAACCCTAGCTCTTCCTGATGCATGTCTAGAAGAGACATCCATAGTTCGGCCTTTCCCCCCAAAAAAAACTTCTCCCCCGGCCCCGACACGCTGGCAGCGCCGATTGCACGCATTCGATCCTGACGGCATGAGAAATTTTGTACCAACCTTGTTCTAGTACCAGCGCAGGTAGATCTGTTGGGGTAGATCGAGGTACACTCCTTTACAATTACTCGAATATGATACTTGTATGATAATATCATACCCGTATGTACGGTATCATACAGTATGATGGTATCTAGACTTGAGGGTAATTCCATCCGACATCCCTACACCGGAAGGAGTGTGGAGCTGGCTTTAAGTTATCGTTGTTAGGATCTAATCTCTTGGCATCTTGTGCTGATTCGGGCCAGGAATAGCGGTACTCTTGGTTGCGATTCCCCCCGCCTCCGCTACGACACCTCGGGCCCAACGTTTGATAATTGTTTCAATTGATGCACAGTAGCGGTATGGGCAAATCGGCAAAGGGATTGATTGATGGGCTCCTGGCCAGCAGAACATGAATTACGTCAGGACAAAAAAAACAGGCGAAAATGTCACAATAAAGTAAGCAGATTTGAACTTTGAAGCCAGCGCGATGGTCGGTTGGTGAAGTGGTTATCGTTTTCTCGACATTGGCCGAAGAGCTCCCGGGCAGCGGATTCGACGAGGAACCCGCATGTCGCTCAAGCATAATTGGCCATTCGCCGTCATGAGGGGAAGAAGGAAGAAGAACGGACCCATATCAGCTTTGGTTCATCTGAAGTTCGCCTTCCCCACATGAGTACCGTATGATACTTGTACCGAATGGACCAAGCCCAAGGCTTTTCCTAGATATCTCGGGCCAGCCAGCCATAACTCAGCCCACGCTTCAGCAGTCAGTTTCCACAACGCCCATTGTACCCGCCAGCGCTCTTCGGCGCTTGCTGGTTTGCTCGAAGACCTACAACCCCACTCTCCCCACCTGCACCAGCTCGAGTCTCAGGAAGAGACTACCGCACTCGAGTGCCCTATCACACACTATTCGTGTTTGCTGCCCACGTCTCTCCCTCAATTGATTCCGTGGCACACGGTAGGAGGGGGAAGAGAAAAAAAAATAGGAGGAGAGGGCAGAAAGGCAGAACGGCCGGCACCAGGGAGGAGGGAAGGGAGGAGGGAGGGAAAGAGCTGTTTTCTCATTACTCCCCCGGAGAATTCTTCTTACGGATTCCTCGGGGAAGCAATGCGAGCAGTATAACTCGAGCACCATACTTGACAAGAACTGTCTTGGAGAGAAGGGAAAAAAAAAAAATTCCGCCTACTCGAGTACCGTACAGTACAGTACAATTCTCTATCGTCAGCGACTTGCGTGGTCCCTATTTCTTGGTGGTCCAAAGTTTCTCCATAGGCGGTCCTGCAGGCGATTTGCCAATCCGGGAACTTGCATGTGTTCAGATACTTGTTCGTTTTCAACTGCATGCAGGCCTGCCTTTCATGCTCAACCACCATCGATCCCAACGCCGCCTTACTGTAACTGTAGTGCCGGTATGAGAGCAACGCTGCCGTGCCCCATTCCACCCGCAACCTTGCCATGTTGTCAAATGGCCCAGAGCCTTAGTGGTGAAAATCCGATTCTTCTGCCCTTTTCTTGAGCCTTTATTTTTCCTCCTATGAGCTCTATTCCTCCCACTGCCGCCTACACTAACAGGTGAGGATGCGGATTGAGGAGGTGGGCTCGACTGACGTGGAAGAAGTTATTGGGGTGGGGTTACCATTTGATCGGTGATGGAGTGCTTGCCGTGTACTGTACCTCCTTCTGCTGTATGCCTCGAGGCCCTGCCGGGCTACTCCTCGTTTATCTCTCAATCCTCATGAAACGCACATGAGGCCTAGCACCGATATCTATATTTGTATATATATATATATATATATATATATATACTCG